AGGAGACAAACTGTTTCCTTGTGATGTTTGTGGACAAACATTTAGACTGAAGTCACATTTAAACTCCCACATGAGAGTCCACACAGGAGACAAACTGTTTCCTTGTGATGTTTGTGGACAAACATTTAGACTGAAGTCACATTTAAACTCCCACATGAGAGTCCACACAGGAGACAAACTGTTTCCTTGTGAAGTTTGTGGACAGACATTTAATGCGAAGTTCAATCTGAAAAGACACATGATAATCCACACAGGAGAGAAACCGTACCAATGCGATGTTTGTCAACAAAGATTTAGACGCAGCAACATTTTAAACACCCACATGAGAGTCCATGTAGGAGATGAACAGTTTCCTTGTGAAGTTTGTGACCAGAAATTTAAGCTGAAGTCACATTTAAACTCCCACATGAGTGTCCACGCAGGAGGAAGACCGTTTCCTTGTGGTGTTTGTGAACAAACATTTAGGCTAAAGTCACATTTATACTCTCACATGAGAGTCCACACAGGAGGCAAACAGTTTTCTTGTGACGTTTGTGAACAAAGATTTAGGCTAAAGTCACATTTAAACTACCACATGAGAGTCCACAAACCGTTTCCTTGTGAAGTTTGTGGACAAACATTTAGTATGAAGTTCAATCTGAACAGACACATGATAATCCACACAGGAGAGAAAACAGTTTCTCTGTAAACACAGAGTTTCGGTGAGGAATTACAAACAAGTAAACAATGTTAATTAATGCCTTTTAATGGCATTAAAAAAGCATTGAATTTAGTTTAATTAGCATTAAATATTCTAGATGAACATGAACAGACAGGATTAGGTTATATGGATGGACAGACAGTAAAGCAAATTAAATATTCTACTTTTGTACCAGTTTGTTAAAATTGTAAAGTTTAATAGTTTATCCTGATGCATCTCAGTAATCCAGGTAGATAAATAAATAAGTAGGTCCTCTGGATGGGTTCTTCTTTAATGAAATGTTTCAGATGAAACAACCCACAGTCAGGGTGTTTGAGGACGAGCAGGAGGAACCATTCTGCACCCCGAACACGGGATCATCAGTTCAGTCTCTGTGCACTTTCATGTGCCGATTAAGATTTGAATTAATGTAAAAACGTTTTCCACAGACTGTACAAG